AAATATTTTCAATTATCACATGCAACTGGCGGCGTCAGTGGGCAATGCCTCACTTTCATGAAATTAGCCAAATTATGGGAGTAAACAGTCCGAGGACGTCGAGTCTTCTTGTTTGCGCTTAAAATTTAATTTCACGCACAATTGAGTTCATGCATAATTTTGACTGGGGTGATAAATTATTGCTATTATTGCACACGGAGGCGCATAAGCACACACAGACTCGTGCACACAAACAAGCCCAGAGTCGACCACACACAGCATGGTGTGCATGTGTTTGTGTGTATATGTGTTTATGTTTCCGTGTGTATATTTTTGCAAGGAGCGTAGAAGCGGCACAGCGGGTATGCAATGGAACTGCAGCTGCGACAGAAGCAGGGACAGACATGCGGTACGGAAAATACATAATGACCCTTCCTAGCGCATTTGCAGCGACTGGCTATGGGGCTCTGTCGCATGTGATGCAGTCGGAGAGGTTCTGCGAAAAGGAGACGGGATTGGTAACGAAACGACAGGGGCATCCCTATGCACCACACGGTGGTCAAAATTACTAAACTAACGGTACAACATGCATACCTCATCAACAGAAGATAGTGGTGGTCAGGATTATTCAAGGTTTCAAGTGTTTTACAATTGTCTGTCATTTTAAAAAGCCAAGATGCACTTTGCATAGTTTTAATAGAGGCTAAGCTGTAGATATTTTTATAATAATAATTTATTTTTATTTTATTTACTCATTTTACGAGTAGTTGTGACGACAAAACAAAAAACAGCGCCTCTTAACAATCACAACCTACTATAAATAAGCAGGCGGCAAATCCACTGCTGACGATTCCATGATTAATTTAATGCAGCGAAATTTTTAATCGGAAGCACAACAACGACAAACGCACTTCGAGTATTTTCACTCTGCTGGTTCCAATCACATCCAAATGCAGTCAAAGATATTATTAATACACATACAATGAAAAAAATAAAAATATTCAAAGCCACCAAAAAGTATACGATTATACAATAAGAAAGTTTCCAGTCTTCGAAGTGCTCAAGTAATAAATATAACCTCTAAATAACAATTCTGAGACATAGATACCTAAGGCTTTTAAACAGTATTATATATTTATGTACATATATTTATATTATCTTAAGGACAACTTTTAGAAATTTTTCTACATAGATTACGATTTGGATTAACCTACTTCGTAATCGAATTCTCTAGTGATGAATACTTATGCTTTCATTTCTTTCTGAAACCTTTTGCATACACAATTACCAACATCCTCTAATAATATTCGCCAATCTATACCAGCACGTGTATAGTAAAGTCAAGGATTCGGGAGATGACTAAAAAGAGAGGATTTTAGAGTGGAAAGAGACAGTTCGGTTGAGTTCATGAGCAGAAGTCTGGTTGGGTAGAATGGAAAACAAAAGTTGGGATCCAGATTTAATCCATGAAGAGCAAAAGAAGGCAATGTTTCCAAACAACTCAATTCGACCCTGATGCGCTTGATACTGCGGAAACCAAACGCATGAGCTATATTCAAGAAGTAGAATAGGGATCCTTGAATTCATTAGACCATAGTTTGGTTATTTACGATAAAAGACTCATGAAGTTTGAAGTTCAATTTGAAATGATAAAGTACTTCAATATCTTTGTAAATGTAAATCTTTTAAATGTACGTTGCAATGCTTCATTCCACTAAACTAATTGTGTTCTGAAGTGGTTAAAATTTCCCATTTACAAATAGAGCAATCCCCACCACGGCAATCAAAACATCGTGCAGACGGCAGAGTCGGTTTACGATAGAAGAGGCACAACATCAGCATACATGATGTATGAGAATGCGACAGGATAGATGGGAGGACATTTTAAAACAGAGTATCTAATAACGGTCCATGATATAAGTACGTAAGAAATAACTTGAACAGGTTTAGATATATTCCACCTGAGCAATACTCCCCGATTTTTATTTTAAAGATATGAGGAAACCTAAACCAAACAAGTACGTTATACGACCAAGTTTCCAGAGAAAGACTTCAAACGATTTACTGAAATCTGTATATAACAGCAGTGTATAACATTAATGTAGAACATAAGTGTATAACATCACTGTATAAGATCAGTGTATAACATCAGTGTATAACATCAGTGTATAAGATCAGTGTATAACATCAGTGTATAACATCAGTGTATAACATCAGTGTATAACATCAGTGTATAACATCAGTGTATAACATCAGTGTATAACATCAGTGTATAACATCAGTGTATAACATCAGTGTATAACATCAGTGTATAACATCAGTGTATAACATCAGTGTATAACATCAGTGTATAACATCAGTGTATAACATCAGTGTATAACATCAGTGTATAACATCAGTGTATAACATCAGTGTATAACATCAGTGTATAACATCAGTGTATAACATCAATGTATAAAATCAGTGTATAACAGCAGTGTATAAGATCGGTGCATAAGATCGGTGCATAAGATCGGTGTATAAGATCAATGTATAAGATCAATGTATAAGATAAGTGTATAAGGTCAGTGTACAAGATCAATCTGAAACAGCAGTATATAAGAGCAGTGTATAACAGCAGTCTGCACCTTTTCTAATTTCCCAAGGAAGTAAGTTCCCGCAAATAAGTCGATGTTAACCGATTTTATATAAATCCATGCTGATCAGACTTGATTGCAGAAATATGTACAAAGATTGTTCAAAAAAGAAGTAATTAAATTGTTTTCAAATAATTAACGAATGGCAAATAGGTTAGCAACAAGAAGTTGAACTGCTAAATTCAAATTACGTTCGAAATGAAACTCACGAAGCCGCCAGTAATGCGGTGATCGTTCTAAGCCCGCACTATGAAAACCAACAATAAAGCGATAAATAAAATTGTTCACTATAATTGTCAATGTGGTCCACTGCTGGACGTGGCTTGTTGGGCGGTCGTTTGCTGCGTTCATTAATTCGCTGCCATAAAACAGCCCGGGGCATATTTTGCTTTGCTTGCATTTGCATACTTGCAGGCGGTGAACACGCGCACGCACACACAAACACCAGCACCAACACACACACAAATACGGGCACCTGTTACCGTGCCGCGAACAAGCCCACGGACTGAGCTCAGTACCAGCCAAAACGGTACCGGTCCTGGTCCCGGCCTGAGCTTCAACGCAAACGCCTACAACACATGTCTGCTCATAATTAATGTGTAAATTGTAAAGCTCCGCTCGTCCGTTCGCCGGCATGCGCACACACACACACACACACACAAGCGCGCACACACACACATGAACACAAGTTGCGGCCGTGTAGGACATGCAGTGCTCGGTGGAGAGGGACTTGTTTGCAGCAACGACTAGTTAATACAAAACAACAACACCACCAATAAACCAGTTGACCCGTGCCCGGCCGCGAACATGCACGGAAAATGCGTTTTGACGCAGGCAAAAGCCACAAAAAAAGAAACTTAATTGCATTTAGTTCACCTTCCGCCATATTATGCCGCCGGCTGATGATCGGTTAGTGTTGGGCAGTCCGGCCAGGACAGGAAGGCAGCTAGGCAGGCAGGCAGGCAGGCAGATGCGCAGGAAAAGCGATTTAGCGCATAGACAACGAAAATTTATGCAGCGTTTTTAATTGTTTGATTGGAGATAAAATTGTTTGCTATTTTCAGCTCAGCTTGTGCATCGATATGAGGCGGATCTATTGTTTTAAACAGGCAATCGACCCGAAACAACTGTAAATTGTATTCTAAAATGTGCATATGTGTGTAGATAAGCGCAGTGTAGGGCCAAATTATTAAACAAAATAATTTTACAAAAGCAGAATCATTTTTTAAATTTCCTAAACAACAAGCAAATACTGATACAATAGCACGTGACCTCATTTTCCAGAAATTTTAAAAGCCTAATAATCTTTTATGGTTAGCTATAGCAGAAGCTTTTAAGAAAGCTTTTGCTTTAAACGAATTCTAATGCAAATGTAGAATTCCAAAATCCAAAAACGTGCTGGAGAAGAAGCGTTTATTAAGAAATAAACTTTTACCAAATCGAACACTAACCAGTAAATGCCCTTTACTGTAATGTATTTCAAGAAATTCTTCAACATTATTTTGTCCAAAGTCTTAACAACTAATTTTTACAGAGCAAATTAATAATAATATTTCAATGATTTTTTTTGTGATTAGATATACATACATACTCATATCTGCTGCTCATTTTTTTAATACTATGAGAAAAGTTGGACAGACTGGACTGGACAGACTCCGCTATTATCGTGTATATTCAAGGATATCCATATGTATATTCCTTGTTTATTGTTCCAACTAGATCGAACTCGCCTCTAAAATACTATAAGTAGAAAGTAGTCGAATATACCCGCCTGAATTGAAATCACGAAATGTGTATACTGCAAATGTATGCAACAGCCAGAAAAAGGCGTGGTTGACCACACAAAGCTTCTTCTTTCGTTAGCAAGTATCTCTGAAATCAGAGGAGCTTCAAACCAATCAGAACGAGTTAATGTTCTCCCACAGTTTTTATACCCTATTCAAAATGGGTAAACGGGTATACTAGTTTTGTGCGAATGTATGTAAGGCGACTTAGTATAGCCGTGTCCGTGTATCCATCTGTCCGTTCGTCTGTAGGAGCGCAAAGATCTAAGGAAGTACACCAACTATTAATACATGGTATTCATATTCAAATCTGTCCTGCGCACAAGGGCGTAGGCAGCTTTTACCAAATAATTAAATTATTATTAAATAATGCACGATGCATTTAAAAAAACCGTATGCATATGATCCCCCCTGCCTACGCCCTTGACTGCGCACAAAGACATAGACACAAACCACATACACATTCATGAAATTGTAAATACACATAGTCATATCTAATTTATTATTAGTTAGTTAAATTTTTTTTTAATGTTTTTCAAAAACGAATCTAGGTTTTAAGTAGGTATAGGGCTTATAACAGTTGCGATCGCTTGACTATAGCATGGCATTCAAGTTCTTGTTTGGATTACCACCACACGAAAAGCATACTAAGTAAGTGGGTTCTAAAAATACAACTTTTTCATTTCCGAAGCATAATATTTTGTATATATTATGTGGCACGCTCAGTAATCACTTGAGCACGAAAGTGTTCAGTTCCCTTTCAATGGACGTGAAACTAAATTTGAAGTTTAAGGGCAACTGGCAGTTTATTCGCCTGCTGCTTGATATATTGCTGTTGGCCGCGCTACTGGGATGTGTTAGAAAATTTTTTAAGTACTGGAAAAAGATCGTTCCTGGAAAACCACGTGGTTTCTTTTGTAATGACGAATCATTAATGTATCCGTATGTGGAGGTATCGATGGACGCTTCGGTATTCATAGTGGCCTTGTCCCTGCCACTGATCGTGTTCGTGCTGATCGAGTTTTGCAAATGGTGGGGAGAACAAGGTTCCGAATGCAAAATCCGTTGGTCACATTTTTGGCCTCTCTACAATGCTGTGCGCTATTTCCTATTTGGATTCGAAGCACAGTCGTTGCTCACCAAAATGGCCAAGGCAACATTGGGTCGATTGCGACCTCATTTCTTTGCCCTCTGCCAGCCTACCTTTGGCGAAAGGAATGCTACGTGTGAGAATGAGCGGAACCAAACGATCTGGGCGTATCACACAGACTACACCTGTGCACCGCGCACGCCGATTGAAGTCAGCTCATCATTTTTCAGTGGACACGCCGCTCGGGCTTTCTACGGTCTCGTCTTTTTGGCACTCTATTTGCAATTGCAGAGTGCCAAGGAGAGGAAATTAATGTTCTTAACCAATACTCTACTGAGGTCATTGGGTCAACTGCTCTGTCTTATGTTTGCACTTGTCTCCTCCTATCTGCGTGTTGTGGAGCATCATCATCACTGGTCGGATGTAGTTGCAGGTTCATTGGTGGGATCGGCCGTAGCCTATTTTCTGGTAAGAGCAATGGCGACTGAAGCAAAAGCAGAGGAGCAGCGACAGAAACGAAGGCTACCTCCAATAGAAGATGAACTCGTCAGTATCCCACTAAGAAAAGTTTCTTTAGAGCTACCGTGATTGTAATTCCTCCAAAGAGAATCAATCAAAATATCAACATTCTTCAATCACTTAAATAGTATATGTATCAAGGGTGTAGGCAGCTTTTACTAAAGGGGGGGTTTTTGTAAAATAAACATTCTTCTTCAAAAATCATTGTATAAAAGTTTATTACTTACTCTATTCTAATATATAATTCTCATATCTAAATTGTTCATTATGTGTTATAATTGCATGAAAATAAAGAGATATCAGCAAAAAATTGTTTAATTTGGGTTATGGATTTTGGGTTAAGTATATTATTTTTATTTGCATTGCCCTGATAAGCATTCCTTTAGGTCGCTACTAGAAGAGCTTCTTATAGGCATACTGAAAGAAAGGAGATCAAAAATATAATTGCTGACCGAATACCTCTTTGGCAAATGAAAGATGGCATGAACATCTCTTGCTAATTTGTATTTGTTGCGAATGGAGGGAACCGAGCGTGCTTTCATTTAAATCGGTTGAATCTGGTGAAAATATCTTAAAGTTCGATTTTCCAGTGCCATAGACTTTTGTATTAAGTACTATAAGTTGGGTAATGTTTCAACGTTCCTCATTCCAATTGGAATGTTATATATAATGATTAATCATATAGCCTTCTTCCCATGCATCAGTTCACACCTTTAAGCAGCGCGAATGCTGTCGAAACATTGCTTTAAAAGAACAAAGGGTGCAGCTCTTGGAGTATTAGGATTTCGTTTTAAAGGAGCTCAACTAACTGATCGTCTGAATGGCGCGTTCGAATTTCCAAATATTGCACCGTTCATAATCTATATTCGCATTCATTAATACCTCATATTGCGTTAACAGATCCGAAACGCTAAATCGACTTAAGGCCTTTCGTCATCCGCCCTTATATATGTGTATTAGGAGTGGAGAACTATCAATAGCTGGAGCCATCTATAGTCGACGATAGTAATTTCACAACCATCGATAGCTGACGATAGTGATATCGATAGTCGGCTATAGTGAACGGGACCACAGTAACATACAATTTGGTTTGTAAAGTTAAAGTTTAAACTTGTTTACATTTTAAACAAGAAAATAGGTCTTTCATCTAAAAAATCATATAATGCATGCTGAATTTTGATCTCCGTTGCCGGTTTTTCTAATTATCAATTTTTTTCACATACGCCAGAAATAAACGCGCGGTGATGTCAAAACCGAACTATCGATGGTAGGTCGGACACTATCCAAAGTATGTGGGTACTATCGATGGGAGATCGATAGTACAATCGATAGTTCTCCACCTGTAATGTGTATATGTGTCGCTTAGGAGCACAACTGCCTTGTGTTTGAGTGTATTCCAAATACGCTATAATATTATTATTTAGTGTTTCCGTCTTGGTTTCTTACATATGTATACTTATAATTCTAAACAAAACCTGTATTAGAGACTTAAATGTAATTCCTACTGTTTAGATTTCAATAATATGTAATTTTAAGCATATTACATTGTACCTTAAAATTGCAAACTTATGACCTAAGAAATGTACTATAATTATAAAATAATGGCTATCTTGCAACTTTTGACGTGAATGTGAACTAATCAATGCCTACTGAACTTACAAGTATACAAGTGTACGGGTATATCTAAATATATCTCACACGACTGCACGTCTATGCAATCTGAGATCAATGGCATCTCTTTCATGAAAATCTCGATCAGTATACATAATTTCATAGTTAGGATGAATATCTCTTAGGGGACCACGATACTGATAGGTATCTAAGAACAGATTACAAAACTTTTCAAGTACTGTGTAAGCATCGAACTTTGTTTCCATTTCGAAAAGAATATTATTTTCGTCCGACTTGGCTTGCAATATGCTATAAACCAAGCCAGAGAGCTGCAGTTTAGATGTCAAAATATCAATCACATAGTCCACGGCGTTTGATACTTCCTCTGTGCTATTTCGAACTAACAAAAGACGCCCATGGGAAAAGGGGCCATGCTCTTTATAAAAACTACACTTCTTCAATTGCTCCTCGGCACTCACATGAGTATTTAATTGAGTTGGAAATGCTGTCGTGTTTTGTGATATTGTCGATATATTGTGTTTGTTTCTTCTATTCGATTCCGTTGCTGAATGATGATAATCCCAAATCGGCAGCGTATAATCTTCATTCTCATCGTCCGATGGAAACACAAAGTCATGACTATAAACACGTTTGGTCCGCGGCCCTGTTCAAACCGGAACAATGTATTAGAATTCGCCTTCACAAGATATGTAACGCTTTCACAATGACAACATACTTACACACTACTGGCTTGCAATTGGAAATTCCAATGATTAATCCGACCGTGCATACATATATGAGTAAGCTCGTTTTTAACATTTTTCTATTTGTTTATTCTCCCGCGTGTAAACAAAGACTGATAGTCGTATATGCAGACGAGACGATCTTATATTCGTTATCTATAGCGAGCTTTAAAGTTCTTCAAAGCTTCAAGCCGCTGTCTCTCTGTGGGTCTTTTTTCCGAAGCTTTCTCAAAGTTGGGCAAAACACATGCCAAATCGCATTCTGATAAAGAGTACTTGCACCGTGGGTCAGAAATAATATCATCGGCATCACATCACGATCGAGAAATTCGTTAAAAAGCTGGTTGTTTTTTTATTTTTATGAAAATATTTAATCTTTTTCATACGCCTATAATTATCGAAGGCTTTTGAAAAGCCACAAAACAGTTTCTGCTTTTAAAAATGTGACGAGCAATTTTCCCATTTTCCGCTTAGATCGCTTTTTATCCAATAGTTTGAAGTGGCGTTTTATTTTTTTTATTTGCAGTAAAAATCAAATAATACGAAAAGCATAGTTCGCGTAACTGGTTTTTTGATCTATACTAATATTATGAAGAGGAAAGATTTCATTGTTTGTTTGTTTGGATTGAATAGGCTCCGAAACTGCTGGACGGATTTGAAGGATTCTTTCACTGTTGGGATGCTACACCATCCCCGATCAACATAGCCTATATTATATTAGCAAAAATTATAGGGATCCTTACTAAAACGCCAAGATATAAAAAAATTACCTAAAAAAATCCAGAACACGATTTTACGCTATCTATCAACAAGTCCCAAGGCCAAACCTTCGAATTAGTAGGAATCGACCTACGAAAGGAATGTGTTAATCATGGCCAACTGAATGTTAGACTATCGCAGGTCGGAGGTTCTGAAAATCAATTTATTTGGCTGCCATAATATTAAATAACATCAAAAATAAAAAACAATAAAAATAATTTATATTAGTGAGGAATTGCGAAGAGATCCGTTTCATCATCAACAACCTCCACTAACTACTCGAGAAAATCATAAACAATGGGTTCATGGGCGTAGCCAGGATTTAGTCCAGGGGGGCAAGATTTATTTGGCCGATTTTTTACTATCAAATTATTTCCACTATACAAAAAACACATGAAAAATATGGAAAAATAGGGAAAAAAAAAGTTCATAATAATGAAAATGTGAAATTTCGAATGCAATAAAATGTAAAAAAAAACTTGGTAAAAAATAAGAAGATTTGTGATCGTGGAACTAATATAAATTTGGTCCCGTGCGACATCGAGAGTGTACAATTTAAGAATTTGAAATTATGTTTTCTTACATAAATGATAAATTTTTATATACTCGTATATACAAGTACATACTTTAAAATGATTGAAATCTAGATGAATAACACCGGCTGCGAAAAAATAAAGTGGCGTTCAAACGGTTAGAAAAATATGTAATTTTTCTAATGGGTGGTGCTCTCAGTTTGAAAATCAATTTATAGTATCAACTCCAGTTAATTTACTAAAAATAAGCATAAATATAATGGGAGCAGTATCTGGGGTCGGGGCAGTTATCAAAAGAACGTTATGGCAGATAAAGAAATCTAAAATCATTTTGTTTCGACAGTTCAGAACTGAAACTGCATTTTCTGAACTGTTATACCAAAACTATTTTTAAGAGACAATAATGCACAACGTCTTAAAATTAGTCGCCTTAATATATATTGCCTCAGGTTTCGATAAAATCAGCGAACTGTTGGCCGGAAAAACAACTTATTTGCCCCGTTTGTCCCGTTGCCCAAAATCAACCTTAGCACTAAATATAGGGCTAGTAAAGAGTTAAAAGTTGAGCATATTAACACAATATTTTCATGCCCATATATATATAGGTATATATTCTCAACATTATATCTTCATAGCAATCTAGCTGATAAATTAACCGTAGCCATAAAATGGATGTATTTTTTCGTGATTTTTGTACAATGCGGCACAAATTCAAATTTGTCTGCAACATTTTTGATCCGTTCAGAATCTAGAGGGGGGCAGCTGCCCGCTTTGCACCCCCCTCGCTACGGCCATGAATGGGTTAAAACTAATGTGTTGAAAATTAAAATATGGTCGACTTCAATTTGAGCCCGCAGATAAAAACTCTTTACCACTGTGAGGATGCATTTGTTTTATAAAATTACATACGAATATTCTAGTGAGTACATATGTATGTATGTATGTATGTACATATGTATAAACATATGTACTTATAAACAGGCGCGTAGTCATGTGCACTGCTATTGTTTTTCGCAGCTTTCGAGCAAAGTAGGATTTGCCGTCTGCAGTAGACACGACAACGACAACGACAACGTCGACCTTTTGACATGGCATCGTACGCCCTATGCGATGGGCAGCCTACGCCTCAGTCTCGTGCAGCGTGGCCTTTGAATTGCAGCTCCCGCCCCTCAGCGAAGAGGCCTCCAGTCCCGGGTTCAGCTTTCCTAGTCAGCTCCAGTCGGGCAGACGACATTTGGCTTGTGCTATCGCTGCTGCCATTAGTGAGATTAAAACTATAACGCCGCACGCTGTGTGACCAAAGTGAAAGAAACTGGCGCAAAGCATTGTTTTAGCCACGAACAATGGGAGACTCTCTCATAATGACGCAATGCGTACATTGTGCTTCGTAGGACAATTGTCAGCGGGCCAAAATGCAGAGCAATGTAAATACGTATAGGATAGTATAGAAGTATAGTAGTATACGGAAAAAATAAGATAAATCGTACTATATAAACATCCATGGCAGCACAGTTGACACAGATGTGTGCTAGGTAGGAAGGCGCAGAGAGGCACATAAATTGCAATTTGTTGTCTCTAATGTGGCTTTGATGCGTTGGCATCTATTCATGCAACTTGCTGTAAAACATCGTTCAATTTATATCAAATTGCAAACTCTATTTCCATGCCCAGACTAACTCACTAACAATAGGCAGCCAGTCGAAGCATTCGTAGCCACAAAACCGAACTGTCAGGCAAGCCAACAGTGATGCAGGACCAGACCAGACCAGACAAGTCCGCCCAGTCAGCCCAGCCAGCCCAGCGAGCCAAGCTAATTGACAACTGCATGTCGCTTTAATTGACAGTTGAAATGCATAATCCCATTGCAATGAGTACGTTTTGGATATCTGTAATTTGTATAATGTCTCATTAGCCTAATTAAACAGCGCTTCAGCGGCAGAAACGTTCTCTGTGGGAGTTCGGGAAATGGAGAGCCGCGTCCTTTTCAATCGCCTGCATAAGCCAGCAATACTTATTTAAATTGTTTAAAGTATGTAACGAAGATTTGCGGCTAATTAAGCACCTTTACCGTACATATTCTCCTTGCTAAATCACAACACCAACTTCTACAACTTCTACTTCTGACTGAATTGCAATTCTTTTTTGCGTATTTTTCAAGCTGTGGAGCTGTTGACAACGAAGATTATCCTTACTCCAAGCCCATAGGAAAGACAGATGGCTTATTCATTTCATATTTTGTGCTTGCGAGCTCGGTGACGAATGTAATTAATACAATTTCACTTTTCCTTTGAAAATAAAAAAAAATATATATATATGCATGCATTGAATTGTCTCAAAACTTTGCGCATAAAATATTCCGTAAAACTTAATAAATCCTTTCACAAACTTCTTTTGCAGGAATTATTCGAGTGATATTATTAAGATAAAATTAATTAATAAACACCTTTCTTTTTCAATAATTTGTAAACTAAGTATATCTCTACATTAATTAATTACTACTATTAAGCCTTTCTTTACTTCAGTATGTTTTTTTTTTACAAATTTAATAATTAATGAACATTGATTTGTTGATTTTGTCAAACAAATACGAAATTTGAGTTTTCTTGTCTCAGTCCATATTTTATCACCAATATCTCATTAAACAGAATTTGTAATAAAATTGAAATTGTGTGATTTGGTATAAGACATACTAATGAAATGGTTTTTTATGATTTGAATTATTATTCTGTGGGAAATTGAACTAAATTTCTAATAAGATATTTGAGAGAGTTACTGAAACAGTTCCATTTTTATGCACACTTAACCAAAGTTCCATAATTTGTGAATAATTGCGACAAGCTTTATTCCCCAAAACCGGAGACATTTTGGTAAAGGTCGTCAAATAGAAAGCCCACATTATTATTTAATTATTTATTTATTATTACTTCCTAGTGCGACAAGAAAGGTTCTTATAAATTAATGCACTAGTCAGAAAAATGTAATTTCCTTAGATAATAAAATGAGAAGTAATTTGATTACCCTACTTAACCTATTGTCATTAGATACATTTTATTTATTCGTGAATTAAAATTAATGTTATGTTTTTTTCCCATGAGATTATTTCGACTTAAATGCAGCAATTTCGTTAAACAAAAGCTACAGCAAAATATCAAGGTGAGAACACAATATATTTTACCAGGTACGAAATTTCGATCCATGGCTTTTAATTTATTCAAATTAGCCAACCACCAATACGGCAAGTCTTGGGGGTTCCTTGAAGGAGAAAGCAAAAGAGTCAACAATGATTTCCGACTCAATGTTTATTGTATGAAAACACCGTCGATCGCGTATTATAGGTACATACGTGTATGCATATAAACAGCTTTAAAAATTGAGGTCCAAAGGGTATGTTTGTTTCAATCACTATTCCTATCACTTCTTCTCCAGACTAGCTAAGTCTATGATTCCGGAATGGTTTTTGTTTGAAAATTTTGTTTAATTATTACAATACCAGTTTTTAAAGAAGACAGCTTGGCAGTTCTTAAGTTTTATCCCAATGTATATCTATTGTCATTGATTCTAAGGAAAAGAATTTAATCAAATGGCTAAAACTCAGCAAATCTCCTTTTCCATTTACGTACAGACTTACCTACACATACACGAATATGTAAGTAGTATAGTATGTGCATTCACATATACTTCTATAGCTTAGTAGTAGCTTATTTCAAATTTATGTGCCTTTCATGCACTCTGGTAGTTTGTGTAGTATAATAAAAGCTTTGTTGCCTTTGTACGAGTACATCCAGCTTCTCTAGGGGCCTGTGTATG